CGCCCCCCGCTGCCGGGCACGCCCCCAAATCTGGGCCACGCCCCCAAAATCTGGGCCACGCCCCTCTGGTGTCGCACGTGGAAGAGGGAGCGGATCCGGCTCGGGGAAACCGGGAACTGGGAGCCCTGGAGCACCCAGGAGATGCGACCGGGAGCACGGGAGGATGGGATGGGGCACTGGGGACAATGGGAGCCCTGGGACACAGGGGAGATGGCACCGGGAGCCCTGGGACACGTGGGAGATGGGACAGGGCACCAGGAGCAGAGGGGAGATGGGATGGGGCTGTAGGACATACGGGAGATGGGACGGGGCACCAGGAGCACAGGGCAGATGGGATGGAGCCCTGGGACACGCGGGAGATGGGACGGGACACCAGGAGCACAGGGCAGATGGGATGGAGCCCTGGGACACGCGGGAGATGGGACGGGACACCAGGAGCACAGGGCAGATGGGATGAAGCCCTGGGACACACAGGAGATGGGACGGGACACCAGGAGCACAGGGCAGATGGGATGAAGCCCTGGGACACACAGGAGATGGGACGGGACACCAGGAGCACAGGGCAGATGGGATGAAGCCCTGGGACACACAGGAGATGGGACGGGACACCAGGAGCACAGGGCAGATGGGATGAAGCCCTGGGACACACAGGAGATGGGACGGGACACCAGGAGCACAGGGCAGATGGGATGAAGCCCTGGGACACACAGGAGATGGGACGGGACACCAGGAGCACAGGGCAGATGGGATGAAGCCCTGGGACACACAGGAGATGGGACGGGACACCAGGAGCACAGGGCAGATGGGATGAAGCCCTGGGACACACAGGAGATGGGACGGGACACCAGGAGCACAGGGCAGATGGGATGAAGCCCTGGGACACACAGGAGATGGGACGGGACACCAGGAGCACAGGGCAGATGGGATGAAGCCCTGGGACACACAGGAGATGGGACGGGACACCAGGAGCACAGGGCAGATGGGATGAAGCCCTGGGACACACAGGAGATGGGACGGGACACCAGGAGCACAGGGCAGATGGGATGAAGCCCTGGGACACACAGGAGATGGGACGGGACACCAGGAGCACAGGGCAGATGGGATGAAGCCCTGGGACACACAGGAGATGGGACGGGACACCAGGAGCACAGGGCAGATGGGATGAAGCCCTGGGACACACAGGAGATGGGACGGGACACCAGGAGCACAGGGCAGATGGGATGAAGCCCTGGGACACACAGGAGATGGGACGGGACACCAGGAGCACAGGGCAGATGGGATGAAGCCCTGGGACACACAGGAGATGGGACGGGACACCAGGAGCACAGGGCAGATGGGATGGAGTCGGCCCAGAGGATGAGGTCGCTGTGGTGGCACAGGGAGGTCACGAGCAGCTCGTTTTCCTTGTCCTCCGAGTCCTCATCGCTGTGGACCAGCATCACGATGTTCCCCTGGCAAAATATATATATATAATGCACGAATTTTATACATACTTATATAGCCACAGCCTAAAAATACGTCAAGCCTTTGGTAGGAGGCAGCTGCCTAGTTTAACCGGTTTGTCGAGCTGCGCAAGCGGGAGATAACGCGCCGGGAAGGATCCGTGCGGATGCGGCGCTGCCGCAGGGCGCGGAGGAGCGTCCCGAGGCTCCCACCTGCAGCCGGGAGCACACGGCCACGCGGCAGTAGTGCACGAAGGTCCCGCTGGAAGAGAAGGAGGTTTTGGCACTCGGAGCCACCCCCGGCCCACGCGGACCGAGCCCCGCAGTGGCTGCGCCGTTACCTGAGGAACTGCAGAGGATGGGGCTGTTTGGCCTCCTGCTCTTCCTCCGGCTCCTCCTCGCCAAAGACGACGTCCAGGCAGGAGCCCAGGCCCTCCAGGAAGACGAGCTGGCCCCGCTCCTTGGCCGCCGTCAGGTTGACGCCCTGGGGACAGGAGCGGGACGCGCTGCAGAGCGGCCGGCGTCGCCCGCACCACAAAGACACCGGCACCAGCAATCCTAAAGCCAGCGCTTTGGGTGGCTTTTTTAGGTCTTCGGCCAGGTGACAGAGTGACAATTTTGAGCCATCATTTGAGGTGGCTCCTTCTCCGTTTGCGAGGGGGAGCCAAATCCCGCCATTCCCAAGCGCTGCGCCCTGGTTCATTCCTTAATGCCTGGTGGGATGAGGAGGAGGCAGCTCTGCTCGGAGGCCAGTTTGGCCCAGAAGGTTCTGCTCATCCACCAGTGCCCACCTGGACGTCACCTCCGCGGCTGGAGGCAGGAAGCACGAGGGGAGCAAAGGTGCTGAAGTGGCACCTGCAGCACAGGAGAGCCCAACCCGTGTCCCCAGAGCACCACACGGCGCCACTCGCGTGGTCCCCGCGTCACCCGCTTCACTGTCCCGGCACACGGACGTCACCCCCGGCAAGCAAAATCGTTGCAAGAGGGAAGGGGCGACGGAGCGCGCGAGTGGGTGGTCGTTAACCCCAGCCGTGGGACAAAGTGCGGCCGCGTCGCGGGCAGCAACCCCGCCAAGGTCCCCTGTGCAGCACAGCTCCGTGCGGGGGACCCGGCGAGGCCAGAGGGAGGCCAGCTGGGGACAAGCGTGGAGGTTTTTCCCTTTAAAGCAAAAGGAACATTGCACAAACGAGGCTGGGAGCGCGGCTGGCAAGCTGCCCCGGCGCGCTTCGCCTTGCTCCAGCCCAGCGTGTTCTCCAGAAGGTCACAAATGACATTAATGGTCCCTGCTGGCCCTTAAAATTCAATGCAGATCCTCACGAGAGGGGGATTTGCAGAAAAGTGTGAAGCTGGGATTGCAGAGCCAGCACAGGCAGAAAATTCCTGGGAAGCTTTTTCCCGCAAGTGGAAGTGTGTCCCTGCAGGTAGCTAACATGGAAGGAACTGGTTCTGGACCGGTGAGACCAGAAGGCTCTGCGGGGAGGCGAGCGCTGCTTCAGCTGTGTATAAATACCCGGTGTGTCACCACGTATCAGACACTACGAGGACAGGATGCCAAAACCAGCCCCGTGAAGACTGTGCTACAGGGTGGGGAAAGTCACCCACTGCACGTTCCTGGAGGCTGCCCTGCTCGGCAGCGGGAAATGCGGGGCAAGAGCACGTTGAGTACCCGAGGAGAAACAGGGCACCTGCTCCTTTCTTTTATTCACCTTAGGGCTGAGCTCTCGGACCACTTCTCTTTTAAAAGGTGAAAATTGAGTAGTAAAATTAAACGTGACTGTTTCAGCGAGCACCAAAACTCAAGCCACACTTACAGCTGTGTTATTACAGCTGCTGCTTCTTTTCAAGCAGACAAGACCATGTCACCCCTTTCCACAGGACACTACCTGGGACGGAACCTGCCGACCCGGAGACTTACCAGCTTCTGCGCCACGATGTTATAGTGGCTGAAGGACTGGAGCAGGGCCACGAAACACACCTTGCAGCCGGCTGCGGGACAAGACAGGAGACACGTCAGCACAGCGGCCAGGACAGAAATCCTTGAAAGGTCCAGACAGACCTTCAAGTGAGACGGTTTAGGGAGCCCCTCACTTGCTCTTGGCTGGATTGTTGGCTTTCCTCAGTTTGTTTTTTTTTGTTGTTGTTGTTTAGGGATTCAGTTTAATTAAATGGGATGAGATTAAGAAAAGGCTGGTGTAACAGAAGCAGAAGGCCCCTTTTCTGTCTCATGCCGTGGTGTCCTGGGATCCTCTGGCACTGGCTGCAGGCCCCACGGCATGGAGGCCAACGGCCGACCATGACACAATTTACTGAAACCACTGCAGTGCCAAAAGCCCCGTCCTTGGCTCTCGCAGGGTGAAGGACCTTGTCTGAAACCACAAACAGAACTAGCAGAACTAGCCCTGCTGTCAAAGCCGCCTCCGCAGAACACGATTTGGGCAAGGCCAGCGTGGGACCACTCGGCCTCGTGCTTTGGGTATGGGCAAAATCGATGTGTTTGTGCCAGGGTGCAGGGCACACAACAGGAGCGGTGGGAAGGCCGCGCTCCCAAGGACCCCCAGGAGCATCCAAGCACCCACAAGGTCCCACAAGGTCCCTGGACAACGCGGAGGGGCTGCAGACAGGCCCGAGGTTGACAGGCAGCACCCGGGGTGGAAACGAGGGGCTGAAAGCAAGGGGCCACGCTCCCCGGGGATATTCCAGCATTCTTCCATGCCACTCAAGGTTTGCGCTGTCAGTACCTGCCCGAGGAGCCAGGGATGCTTCACAGCAACAGCCGACACAGTCCGGCTCCGTGGGACCAACAGGTTATTCACAGGTTGAAGCCATTAGCAGCAAAGTAATTAGGCAACTCGCCAGTCCCTCTGCTTCTTTACTCACCACCAGCTTATCTATCCATCGGTTGTTCCTGATATTTCTTTTTAATTGTGCTACAAAAAGTCTGGCTAGTGAATGGGTTTCACTCAACACCTCACCCTCGGGAGCCCGAGTGATTTATCACGTTCGTCAGAACTAATGACGAAACAAGCTGCAAGGAGATCAAGGGATGTGCCCAAGGACGAGTCAATCCCAAGAACAAGGCCCCACAAGTCCTGACCCCGGGTGTCTCGTGCTCAACGTGGGACTGCAAAACTGGTCCCTGCCCTTCCAACCACCCGGTGCAGGAGAAACCCCCAAGGAGAGGACGAGGGCAGCCCTTGACGCACCTCGCAGGTAGAAGGAGAGGAAATGGTGCACCAGGAAGCTGCCATCTGTCCTGGTGTCTCGCAGCAGCGTGAATTTGCCCTGGGAAGAGAGAAGCAGAAAAACTTGGAACAGAGGAAGGCGAGGACACAAACTGCTCCCAGCTCCGTCCCGGCAGACGGGACATCTGCTCCGGCCAGTGTCTAGCAGCGACATGGAGGGTATTAGAGAAGGGAGGACGTGACCTAACGGGACTTTAATTCCCCCCTGTGCCACCCTTGTGCATTCGTACTTTCCAGCCAGCATTAAATCTGTAGACACAAAGCACAAACCCAGGTCTGTGAGCTCACCGAAATTCAGGGTGAATTCACAGCTGGCAGCTACCTAAAGGCTGCTGAATGCTCTGGGGATGATCCCCTGGTGGTGCAGGGGATTTGGTTTAAACTGCATTTCCCGTGTTGCACTTTGTACCCACTGCCTCTTGTCCTGTCACTGGCTGCCACTTGCTCACTGTCCCCATCGGGTAGGCTGCACATTGACAAGATTCCCC